ACAGAACTGAAAAACAAAGTGTTTTCTATATGAATAAGTCTGAATAATCTAAGTGATGCAAAGTTAAATACACTGAATGAAATTTCTTTTAAAAGACAAAAGGAGTGTAAAAAAAAAGGCAGTGGCAATGTTTTGTGTATTTAAAAAAAATAATTTAATGCCTTTTAAATCCATATTCTTATTGCCAAAACAATCACTTCTTTAGCCAAAAAAATATGTATATATACTTTGTAATGTGCATAATTGCATGTTTCTAAACCTGGCAATATGTACAGGTATCTATAAGGTATGTGATACATTTAAGCTTCAGCTAATGCTCACACTACAGTGATTCTCTGTTTCTTGGATTTGGATAAAGTCAACTAAAGTTATGGCCTTGCAACAGTGAAGTATCACACACAATACTTGGCTAGGAAATGGGTATTAGTTCTATCCTCAAAACCAGACTTAGAAAGGAGTCCCATTGCATTTTTCTCAAAGTCTTATATCATTAGTTTGCATCTAAAAGGTATCATTTCACAATTTTAAATACTCCTGAAATTCTAGAATTCTCATTTTGTTCAGATTATATTTTAATGCTTCTATAAAATTATTTCAGTTTTATCAAAGTAATAATTGTGGATATACATAATAAAAATGTGATTTTGGAACTCATATTTCATATTAGGAAGAAAATGTCATATTTAAATTATAATGATTTGAAAAACAAAATATGTTTAAACTGGCAACTGGTGGTAGTTTTAATTTATCATAAATTTCTAGTTAGGGAAATTTCTTTTAGAATTCATAAACTATGAAATTGCAGTTAAAATTTGCAGTAGAAATTAACTTAATATTTTAAGCAAGTATTACAACCAGGTTATTAACTAACATTTATTAAGTATTATTTGCTACATTTGAGCTCCTGATAACCAATTTCCCAGGATTACTATAATTTCAGAAATTGCTACTTTTTTCAAGTATGTTTTACTTGGTTTTAAATCTTTAGCTTCTGATTCCCCCAAATTTAAAGAGATGACACATATTTGTTAACACTGTTATTCTACTGTTTCCATTGATATATATGTGTCAGTTGCTTTAACTCTGCTGTTAAATTTTTTAAATGGGGCCGGTTACAGTGGCTCACACCTGTAACCCTAGCACTTTGGGAGGCCGAGGCAGGAGGATCACTTGAGCTCAGGAGTTTGAGGTTGTAGTGAGCTATGATTGCGCCACCGTACTCTAGCCCAGACAACAGTGAGACCTTGTCTCAAAAAAAAAAAAAAAAAAAAAATGTAAATGGCACAAGTATTTTAAAGTGCATTATGGAATTTTAAGGCTATATTTATAACAGATACTAACATTAAGCTGACCACAAGAAAAAATTACTTTCAAAAGTTGGAATAGATTTTAGCCACAAATATGAAAGAATAAGAATACAATCGAATGTGAAGACTCATATTAAGGCATATGTGCAGCTTGCTTATAAAATTAAAATCTAAAATGGTTTTTGGCAGAAATATTTTTATTTTTTTACTTAATAAAAATACCAATTAATGTTTTTTAGGCCACATTTTTTGATGTTTTGGCAGATGCGCTCTAATTTGACAAAAGTCAGGAAGGAATGCCAATGCTCTGCACATGCCAGAGTGAGTTTTCACCCCCTCCTGTCTCCTCTTTTAGTGAAGAGGAGTAGTTGGAATAGCAGAGGGGTGGAGAAAAATGAGCTTGGAAAGGGGCACCCAGGACTAGAAAAGATTACAGTGGCTTGCAGGTATTTTAGGGGAGCACTGGGTCATATATTTGGGTGGCAGGATTGAAAGATGAAGGCTCAAATGGGGCCTTGGGGACTCAAGAGATGGCAGTGTCACAGAACAAGGACTTTCCTGACAGGCATCGCTGAATCTTGATACCACAACAGAGAAAGTACAATTAAAGATATCATGTTGTAACCTGACTGATGTTTAATTATCTTGGATTGTTTTCCTGTCTGTTCAACTCTTAGGATACAATAGCACCTATGAGAAAATCAAGGTGGTGGCAACAGGATAGTTCTTGTACTGAAAGGTTTGACCTCTCTCTTCTTATGTGATATATAAAAATTCCCAAGGAGCTGTTGGGATTCATTGTAAATTGAATGTTTTATCTTGTTCCCTAATTTATAATCATCACACAAAACCTTACATAATCTAATTTATTTTTCTATGAATTACTGTGGGCATTTATCATTGCCCACATATTACTTCCTACTGTTCACAATGGGGTAAGTAAGTTCCTCTCTGGAGCAACATGCACGAACATGGATAGTGTTTTAAAAAATGTGACAAACATCAATTTGGCTTGAGTATTTCATCGATATCCCTCAAGTTTTCAAATGAGGCAATCCAAAGTCAATTCATCTTTCTCACATTATCTGACAGACATCTCCTCATGTTTTATTTTTACTGGAAAAAGATTTTTTGGCAAGGTATTTATTTGGCTAATAAAGCAGAGAGGAAGTGATCCTTCAAAAGATGCTTTTCTTTAAAAATTATGCCCTCCTGTGCAATCCTTCTTTTTATCCAAAAAAGGGTCTCAAATACATTTCTATGATCTCATTTCCTAAAAATGCATTAAAAATTTTATTACAAATACCTTATAAAAACAAAATTTAAAAACTTATGGAAATGTTCACACGAGGTGACAAAAATATATGCAAAAGGGTCTTTATTGATGCTTTGTTTGTCATAGAGAAGTGAAAACAATCTTGATGTTCATTCCACAATGGACTAATTCAGTAAATTAAAGTATAACCCCAGAATAGATTATGTAATAATTTACAAAAGAATGAGGTAAAGCTATTTAAACTCTTAAGGAAAGATATCTACTGATCTATAATAAAATGAAAGAGTCACAGTACAGTAAAAATATTATTATTCTCTTTGTATAAAACTAATACACACAGACATATACACGCACACCTATTTGTGTTTTTGTAGAAAGTGTCTGGAAGGGTACATACCAAACCATTAAGGGGTTACCCCCTATCAAATAAGGGGTGGGGTAAGCAGAGAAATTGGTATTTTATAAATTCTGCATGGTCAATTTTTTAAAAAGTAGTATATATTAAATTTATAATAAAAACATATAAAAATGACAAGCCTTGGATATAAAGATATTTATTTTATGTGCATGCTTCTTTTTCTAAAGTAGTTTTTAGAATTTATCCCAAAAGTTACTACTATTTTTTTACCTTCAAAGTTGGCACTGACATATAAATAATACTTTTTATTTTCTTCTCTTTTTTTAAGATCTTGATGAAACTTAGTAAAACAATTCACAAATAATTACTTTAAGTTACCAGCAGGGAAAGGCCTAATATATATTAACCTTTAAGGGGAAGACGCATACATTAATTTAAAAAAATCTATGCAATAGAAAAATGAAAATCCTGTGCAACACAGTGCACACTATTTCAAGCATTGATGAAATAGCCTTCACTGAAAATAGACACCACTTTGTAACTGGAATATTAGAAAGTTTTCCAAATAATATAAAAATACCTCCAAAAGATAAGTTATTTAAAGAAAAGAATAAAAATCCCTGAGTAGGCCAAAGATAACAGATACTATAACCTAAGAAAATAGACTATCTAAGACCAGAGAGTACATTATTTAGCCAGTAGGTACATATGTATATGGTGTATGTATTCATATACAGTTATGGGAATATTTTGTGTACACCATGCATATGATACATATACATCATACATGTACACATCTGCTAGATTTGATTCATCACATTCACATATCGCCAAATTAATGCCTAAGTCCAGGAAAGATGAATTTATAAAACTTAAGCACTTTTATAACAGAAACGTGTATTCAGGCTAGAAATTTTGATTCTTTTGGTCTTAATACTAGAGTGCCTAAAACAGGCATGCAATAAATATCTGTCAAATGGGTGGATGAATGAAAAGATGAATTTGTGAAACTAGAGCATCACTGTTTCTTGTGCTATGTTATGCTTCAGAAATATGCTATTCCGTAACCATAAACGTCACACCCTCCTCTAACTGGAAGTAGACAACTAGTCCAGACGCCGTGGTATAGCTATTCTGTGTTACTCAGAGAGAATGAAAGCATGCTGGCTTGTTACCCACGCACCCAAATCTCACATTTTAGGTCAAACGAAAATAATAAAATGTTTTTTCACTCTGGAGCCCAACAAAAACAAACTATCCATGTTAATGCATGTTTTATCATATAATCTATTTCAAATCAGACAAGGTTGCTGACGAATAAATGTACATACAAAAGCTAATTTTAAGAATGGGGATACAATTAGAAACTTTAGGCTTCTTAGGGGTCTTTTTATTCTTGTCTGCTGATCAACTTTTGTGATGAAAACAAAGGAATATCATAGTTTAGTTATTTGTTCTTTTCTTATTTTTAAAGATTTCTCAGCTTCAAAAAAATTCCTGAAAATATCTTATTCTTTTTATATGTTTCCTTTATATTTCAGATAAACTCATAAACTCATAAAAAGTTTTCAAATTACCCCACCATAAGAAGACACCAACAAATTGTTATGCATTTGAGCAGTAAACATAAGAAAAATCCTTCAAAATTAATATGTGTTTTTATGAAAAACTTGGGGACCAATAAAAAAAGAGAGAGGAGGAAAGGAGAGGAAAGAGGGTGGGGTATTAAATAATGTAAACCTTGACCTAAAGCAGAATTATCTGTAATTACAAGTTGGTTAAAAAATTAGCAGAATAGGGATTTGTTTCAAGACTTAAGCAGTTCTCTCCTCACCAAACTTACTCTTTGGATCAAATAATTCCACGTGAAGGATTTATGAAGCATGCATGCGAAAATAGACTGAATCTGAAAAGACTGAATATTTGCATCTTGAGAATTTCTCAAAAGCAGCCTATCATTTCTGTCAGTTCACAAAGCTTAATACTTCTTGGGGTGACATTGCACAAATTTCTGGATGTGTGTGACGGAAAGAGAGAGCAAGAAATAGAAAGGGTCGACATCGAAATAGCCTGTTGTCTACATTGATTTTAATTCAATACATTATCAAATTATGCCCACAAAGGAACCATCATCTTTAAATAGGTCTATGAAAGTGTGGAAAAATAGTGTAAAGGCATGGAACTAGATAAATACAAGGTTAATGGGCCTAGTTTTAATATATATTTATATACACACACATTCACGCCCCTACACATATACACCTCAGTAACTCAGGATTCTTTTCATTAATTCAGTTTCATTAGTTCCCTTTTGGACATTGAGATTTTGAGCAATTATAGCATCTGAAGAATAAAGGAATTACAGTGCTTGGGCCACAGATGAAAACAGGTGTATTTGGTGAACTCTTATCTTCTGAAAAGTGGCCTTGCTTGTTGGTACAGATAGGACCTCAGCTATTCACACGAAGTCTCACAAGACAGCTGGGAGGGAGGGGTTCAGGGTTCAGACAGTCCAAGCAATGCTCAGGAGAGGCGTGCTCAGAACAATTCTGAGGATAACTGGTTCTGAATTAAAATATTTTCTTCCAAGAACCACGAAGGTCAGAGTTATGATACAGATGTTTATAGTTTATGAAAGTGACCATTTTTGAAAAGCAGCAATTTGTTTAGAGAAAGGACAGGATACCAGGTTGGGAGTGCACCGTAGCTAGAGGCATTGTGGCCCTGCGGAGAATCACGGGGAGAAGAGACGGTAGAAAGTTCCTCTCTGTGTTTTTCAAGACGTGACTCACTGATGGGGGTACCATTCTGTACAGCTCCTACTCCGACCAGCTTAGTTAGATGACATCATCTGCATTTTACCAGTGCATACCTGTCCGTGATCGTTTTCTCTGTTTTTTACAAAGGCAGTAGATAGGAAATACAAACAAACCTAGGGATTAAAAAAAATTTAATTAGGATGAGCAGTATTTAGATTTACATATTTAAAATTTTACATTTTTACTTATTTGCAAACTGTTTACAAATAGTCATTATTTAGCAATATATGCATTACTTGCTAAAAATAAATTTACATATGAAAAATAATTTTATTTAGCAAAAAACCCACACTATATTTACTTTATGGAATGATCATCAAAGCAACCTTTATCTACAGGATTTAGTTTAAAATTCTCTAAAGCAATGATTGTCAAAGTGTGATCTCTGAGCCAGCAGTATCAGCATCATCTGCAAATTTTTTGGAAGTACCAATTCATGGGCTCTGCCCCCATGCTGAGTCAGAAACTGCAGGTAGAAACCAGCAATCTGTGTTTGAACCAGCCATCCAGGCTATTCTAAGGCATGTTAGGGTCTGAGGACCACTGCTATAAAATACATAATTTAATATACTTGTATAAATAAAACTATACAAGTCACTGAAGTGTTTCCTGTTTGTCAGTGTTCAAGTACATGTTAGGTATGTTGCTGTATACATTGAAGGCATCTTTTTTTATCCAGGGCATTTTTTACTGAACCAAAGCAAACACCTAAGTGTATACCACAGCTTCTTTTCCTTGATGCTCCAATCTGAACTCAGAATTGGAAAATTTTAGTTCTAGTCCACTCTACTATTTCACTAGGATACTAGTTGTACTAACCTTGGTATTCAAAGGGGGTTAATAATGCTTTATAAGATACATGAATCAAACTGTTCATAGACTGAAAAGGGTCAGACAAATATATCCTACAGGAAACATACTCCTCTGAATTTTTAAAGAATATGTTCATTAGCTGTCTAAAGCAGGCATGAAATAGAAATCATGCCCACTTAATAAGAGTGTTTCTTACCGATTACAACTGCTATGGCCCCTAGCGCTAATCCCAAGACCAGGATTAGAGGTGCAATGAATAATTTTCCAGCTGGAAAACAAAAGGCAAAATAATTTAAAGAGTTTCAAAACAAATTTACCAAACAATTACAGCAATGCTTTTAAAATATCATAGTGTATGTTATTTTATAAGAAGTCTGATTATAATGAAGGCTGTATTTCTCTAAGAAATGTATCAGGTGTAGAATAGATAAACACATATGAGTTCAGTAACTTCACCGAAGTCCTCAGCTCATGCACCCAATATCTCATCAATTGTTTATCCTTTATAACCAAAAAAAATTCCGCAGCAACTAGCTCACTTTATTCTACCAGGACAATCCATTTTTGTGCTTTTCCTTTAGAGCTTTTCCATTTTCAATGTTCAAGATGCTGAAAGATTATGAAAACAGTGGCACATTCTGAGTTAGCAGGAGAAAACCTAGTTAGCTCACAAAATGGAGAGCAGGTAGGTACTGCAGAGAGCTTCTGCCCAAGCCCACATCTAAAAAAGTGGCTTATTTACTTCCTGGGTCCAAAGAAAACTAATAATAAGAAGACCTAATAGACTGAAGTACAAATGGGATGTTTTAAGACTGTTAGATAAAACTACTAATAAATATACAATATGTTGAAAGTTACTCAAGTGAATCATTTTACCAAATTGGAAAAGGAAGCACTTATAAAAGAAGAAGGCTAAATGCTGGTAAGTATGCCAAGTGATATCAGCCAGAATTTTCTTTTCTAAATGAATAATTAAGCAGTGATGATAATAAACTCTAGTCATATGTAAACACAAGAGTCCACAATCAGAATCCTACTGACTTTGAAAGACACTAGCACAAAAAAAGAGGCCAGTAATTAATATCTTGTCACTGTGCAGTAACCTTAAGGCAAGTGACACAGCTGTGGAACTGCACAACCCAAAGGCAACAAGCAATGAGAAAGGAACGGAAGACTCTGCAGAAGAATCACACAGCTGTGACACCATTCTATGAATTAAGGACAGTAATTTGGAATAACTAATTACATAAAAAAATAGAAACATACTGCAGCCATTTGTTGGAAGTTTATCAGAAAAATATTAACATTTTTATTCTTAAGAAATGGTCTTTGGAACCAGATGACCAGACATATATAATATATAGATTTTAATATTAAATTTAAAAAGATTACCATTCAACTGGCACCATGTCTAACCATGGGTTTACTTATATTTTTCACCGATGAGAATCCAATTAAGTAATACTATATTGCATTGAACAATTACGTTTAGTATACTCTTAAAGCTATGCTTAAGTGGTTAGCATATATAGGTTTATATATTTTAAAAGAATCTGTTTTTCTTTCATGCACATAGCTCAGTCTGTTCATTTATACTTCCTTTTGAAATAATTATCAATACATTTTCCTAATAGCAATGAAACATGACTGTAAAGTAACAGCATTGAAAAGAAATAATGGAACTATGCACGGTGAAAAAGAGAGGAAGAAATCTCACAGTGGAAACACTCCAGAGGAGTAGGGAGGGAGTTATTGGAAGAAAAATATTAGGTCAGAAGAACACTGTTTCACTCAAAGGCGGTGGCATTAGGCCATGGTGATTTGATTACAAGCAGGTATCTGAGTTTCTGTTTGCATATTTGCATGTGAGTATGTGTTGGGGCTATGTGTTGTTGAGGAAGAAGGGGGTAAAAAGTCAATCCACAAAAACATTTACACTTGGATAATCAAACTTGGGTTTGTATGCACAGAGGACATTTGATACTCATTCCATTAACTAATAATTACATAAGCATTAGTTATTACCTATTAATACAATAGAAAAATATATACAATGACTTATCAATTATAAAGATAAAATGAAACTCCATTACAGGACTTTGAAATACGTGGATTTCTTTTTTGCCTCCCTAGACCACATTCCATGCTGTATTGTACTGCATAATTTCCATGAATAAACATAGGATATGTGTAAGACATACTGCTAGATACCATCCATACAAAAATAAAGGCTGACACTGATTCTCTCATCAAGTGGCTTACAACAGGGTTTCAGAAATTTAAAAGGCTAATGACTTCATATTTCTGCAGTATAATTAGTAATTTGCTTTTTGAACAAAATCTGCCTGCTCATGTAGTGTACTGCTAACAAAACTTAATCATCGAAAACTTAAAGTTTTTAATTTTGATTTCAAAGGGTGAGAGAATATGCTCTTCCTGTTGCTGTGGGAAAGGCCCTACTAGGATACCTGGCACATAGTGGGTCCTCAGAATTGTCACACCTGTCACATATCTAAGTTCTATTATCACTACTGGACTCCCAGCGAAGACGCCTATAAGCATGTCAGATACTCACCACAGACCGACCCTCGCACCAATCTCCTTAAATGAGGTCTCTCTGGGAGGTAGCGATATTTGCATCCAAATATACTGAGGTTTGATGTGTGGTCTCCAAAGAAACGGAGCTGGCGGTATCTCTCCCCACATCGATAACAAAAATTAGTGTTACATTGGGAGCACGTCATATGGTCACATCCTTCAGTTCTCTGGATGTGGATCTGTAACAGCGAAAGAAAGAGAAGGAAAGGGTATTCAAGTTTTTAATAAGTAAAATCTAGCAAATTTTATGGAACAATATTTATGAGTTTCACCAAAATAGAAATCTCTCGTAGCATTCCTGAGGCTGTCAATTTGCTCATAATCACACCCTTCAAGATATATTTTTACCAAATACTTTCATGTATGCAAAGCTTGGTAACATTTCAGGTACTCAAGCTGTTGTCTTATTTTGACCAATATATGAATAAATACATCCACGGAAGACACATTTGTCTTTCCAGACATCTAATTCAATGGTTAGGAGGCAATTTAAAATGCTACGAAGTATATTTTGTTTATGTAATGATCAGCAAGAATGAGGCAGCTTGGGGAAATAAGAAGAAATGAAGAATATTCCTTAAAAGAAGGGATTATGTACAACTTTTTGTGAATAAATACCAAAAAGCAGAAATCTCTCTTTGCTAAAGGAAATGATAGCAGATATAAATGTATTTGCAATCACATTTTAGTTTCCAACTCTAAAACTATTTGTAAATACGTTGTTTATAGACCCGTTTGTACCATGCCATCTGTACAACTAAGCACCTTCCTCTGTTGTTGCAGTTGAGTTATGTGCAAATACAGCATCACCCATAATGAAACAAGGATTTTATTCTTGGATAGTCAACCTTATACTCAAAGTGGCAGTCACTGTTTCAAGCACTGAGGCCAAGTTATCATCAAGATATTACTCTTTTAGATAGAATTGGACACGACTGAGAATCCTCATGGACATTGTAAATAAACTGGAGCCATCTTTCACTCAAATATGTGCACACTTTGTTAGGTGAATAATCATGAAAGAGAACTTAACATAATTTAACTTAACATTATTTCATCAAAAGAAAAATAATTGGGTTACACTGCCCAAATCTCCTGTGATTAAAATGAGATCACCTAAAAAGAGTCTTTCCATTTCATCAGGGAGTAGGCATTTACTATATTCAAGTTATATCTTCACTCATTCCATGTAAATATATATGACTTCTTTGCTTAGAAATTTTATTTAAAATGTTCCCAATACCATTTTGATTGTTGTAAGTGTCTATTCATGACATTGCTCCGGGACTAGCGTGTCAGTGAATGTTTTAATGCAATTGGGAACTTTACCATTAACACATGAGTCAAACCCTCCAATGGTTGTTTGACTCTTGCCAGTTAAGCCTTTGGCCACAGTACACACTTTACATATTTCTTTTGAAATTATGTTCTCCTTCCCCTAATACACTGTGTAGTTCTCCAAACTTTTGCACTAGTGTAGTTATAGCTGCATTTTTAAAAAACTGGTCAATAATGATGAAGATAAAATCATCCAGGAAAAAGAAAAGAGCTCTGTGAAAGGAGAAATTTAAAGGTTGAGAGATGAAAAAATTTAGCCACTTTAAAATATAATCTCATATTATAAATTTTAAGAAAAAACATGTTTGAAGTTGCTAACTGCAAAACATACGCAGTATTTCAGTTTTAGTGATAACCAAAATGTTAAACTGCAATTTAAAGGGGCAATACGAATTTAAAAAGAACTTGTGAGGCTGCTTGTAAAATAACAACAGGTATTAATCATAGTAATGGCAAAAGTTTCATTTAAAAGATACACATATATGCGAATCTAATTATCTATCTATCCATTCATCCATCCATCTGTCCATCCTTCCATTCATCCATTCAACCATTTACCCACCTACCTCTCTGGAGAGTTTTTAGGTGATTGTGACCATTTTAAAGAAGTAATGATTAAGTGGAAGGCAGCATATTACAGCAAGCATTTTATACATTGGTAAATGAATGAACCAAGAAAGAAAAGTTTGCCAAGTAGCTGGCAGGGCTGTAGGTATTCAAAATTATTAGGTGAATTGTAAGTTAAATGTCCATTCACTTCCAGCAGTTGGCTGACACTTGGCAGGTAAGCCTCAGCCCTGTAGGGAGGTTGAAAGGACCTGGGCTTTGACTTCAAAACCCCCGTGTTTGAAGTCTGGCTCTGCTAGCTGTTAAAAAAGAGGTCAGTTCACCTCTCCCAAGCCAGTTAGATAATATTCCTTACCATGTAGTGTAAAACGTGCTAATACGTGTACAATGCCTAACCCATTGTTTGGCACATACTGAATTAGATCAATGTAAAGTTGGTCCCCATCTACTCCTTCCTCTGTACTCATCTAAAAATGTGAGAAATCAAATGCCCGGGGAATGTAACTGCAAACCCCTGATTACCAGGTTCTCCTCTGTCTCACTTCTTCACATGGGTAATTCTTAGGCTGATGCTGGCCTAGAGAACACCTTCCCAGGCAGGCAAGGGCTAGCTTGTGGTCAAGGGCATATCAGCATCTGGGGTCAAGGGTTACCAACAAATCATGATTTGGGCAATAAAAGCAAACCTCGTGTTTCTTGCTTTGGTTGCCTTATCCTTTTTCAGTCATATCATATTTTTTTCCTTTTACATGACAGTCCAGTAGCAGTGGATCCAGGTTTTGTGGGGCCTATCGGTTATCTAATTTGAGGATCATTCTATAAGGAGAAGAATGTAAATTACAAACACAAATTAGAGACAAAGTCTAAGAAGGGGCTGGTGCAGGTGAGGGTCTCTGAAACTTAAGCTGTTTAGCTTTCTGGTAAAACAGCCCCTAGCCTACTGTGCATGTTTATCAATGACTACCGTGGCCACATCCACTTAGCACAGTAAATGGTGTTAGAAACGACATGGACTAACGTCCTCACTGGACCCTTGAACCATTTCTGATTCCTCTTCAATCACCTGAGCACTAGGAGAAAACATGCTTGAAGACAACTGCTGAGCACCCAGAACATCGTACACGCAACTTTTTCACTGTATTGTATTTGATCTTAAAATGGAGATAACACAACTTAAAACTCATGATAACATAGCAGTGACCTATAAAGGGAAGAGGGCTAATACGTCTTTAGAGTCCATTATGTGCCAAGCATTGTACACAGATTAGCACTTTTAAGCCTCATAACTGCACCATGAGATTGGCATTCTTATTTATAACCAAGCTCAGAAAAGTAATCTGCTTGAGTGACAATCCTAGGGAATGAAGAAAGGATTTTGAATTTACGTCTGTTTCTTTATTATGCTAAGCAGCCTCTTATTACAAAGTTAAAGGTAAAACCAGAAGGTCAATCTTATTGTTTGCCAACTGGCAGCACAATCTTTACCCTAGTCAGGCAAGCACGTCTGCTCTCCCTGCACAAGACATATGGTCTTTCTGCTTGTTTCTGCCATTCTCTGGGCCAATTCACATTCTTCATTCAAAACGGCACCAAAACTTTTTCTGACAGGAAACTTGTTCTAATAAGTTAAACTTGTGACTAACGGTTCATTTGCCTCAAAATTTCACATTTAATTTTCACTGTCATTTTATATGTGCTTTTTATATTGCTTCATTGGGTTCTAAAATTTTTATGTGGCCTATTATTTCATTTAAATAATGAAGACTGCAATTTCTAGTCTTTCTCTTTAACAGTCTTTCCTTATTAGAAATATAAAATTCTGAACACAGCAAGCAAGAAAAATGTTGGTCAAATAATATTTCTACATAGGAAGTGATCAAATTGTAAGCTCTGATAATGCTCTATAGTAACCTTGTACACACTGCAGGATTATGTGATTCTGTAGATTAACTTGAATATTTTATGCACATAATCAGGAAAAATGGTTCCATAATTTACCAACTGTCAAGTACATGGTCCTTCCTTGAATACTACTGTGACTATACTGGATTATATATGAATATTTTACTATTTGATACTAATAGAGAAATGAACTAATAAAATACAAGTTATCATGCAGCAGGAGACATTACTTTTCAATTTGCTAAGCAAGCTATAATTTTGAACTTCTAAAAGGGTCACACTTTGACGATGCCATCTTTGTTTATTTTTAAAACACAGGTTTAAACTGTATTAATATTTACATGAAGTTCATTTCTTTCTCAATGAATTTTTTTTATAGCTTTGAAAACATCCATCAGTTTAGCTCTGCTAACAAACTAATCACTCAAGTGGCTATAATTTAGCATCAAAATTCTGCTTTTATTTAAGAGATGAAGACAAACTAGGACTAGTTATTCCTAATCCATTAGATTAAACTGATTATTAATAAGCCACAATGGCATTAGATTTGTTATTACTCAGAGAATTTTTCTCCATCTATAACAAGTAAGGATGGCTGATACTTAAGGAATTGAATATTTATCCACCAAATATTGCTTATGTAGTTCTACACTTTTTAGTCATGAGATGAAATGTTCAGAATAAGTTAGATATTTCCTTAATAAGAATTACATTGTAGTAAGATATGACCCAACAGACAAATTTTGTGCCTACAAGGCAGATCAAAGTTTTTAATAAGAGATTAATCATTATATATACTTACAGATACTTCTCGACTTACTATGGGGTTACATCCTGATAAACCCATCATAAGTCAAAAATATTGTAAATTGAAAATTTCATAAGTTGAAAATATCATAAGACAAAAATTGGCATTTTGTAGACATAACGAGATGCAAAAACACAAAACACATATCCAAAAAATGCTGGCAACACACTACACTTGTATTGGTTGTTTACCCTTGTGATATACCAAATAATATAATTCCCAAGGAGCTAGATATTAAATAACATGATAAATAAAGTGGCTATTTCTACTCTCAATAAGGAAAAAAGAAAAACAGTGTGAACCTTCAGGAAAAACAAAATAAAAGGCACACAAGTTCCAAATATGAGGCCTGATGAGATATGGAGTGATTAAGGAACTGACGGCAAGCAAGGACCCTAGTGGCATTTTTCCTAAAAGTTGTGATCTCATAGAAAAAGAAATGTAATCCTAGTTCCATAATTATATGTTCTTGATCATGTGACTACCTAATTGGTTTTTAAATTTTAAAATCACCCTTTAGAAAAAACAGAAGTATTAAATATGATATTAGAATAGAATGTGAAT